CCCCTTCGCAACCAGCCCGGCCAGAGCCAGGCTCCGCTGCCAGCCGTGGGCCCCTTGCTGAGCCACGCTCTCACCCAGGCAGGTCTGGGCTTCTCCGTACGGTTTCTGTGGCGTAGCGAGGACTGGCACCGGTGCCTGCGTGGCAATCCCCCGGCCCCACGCTGCCTCCGGCTGCTGCCGCGGTGCAGGGGGGCCTGGGCAGCCCCTGGGGCTGCCTGTGTTTGCCCTGGGAACAGGCTTTTTGCTGCCATCGAAGGGAGATGGGAACTGCAGAGAGGGCTTTGTCCCCGCTCAGGTGACAGCCTGGGGCCCTGCGAGTGCTCTCAGATTCTGGTCGGGGCTCTGGCTTTTTCGCCTGCAAGCCCTGGGGCTGTGTGTGGGAAGCATCTTGCGGTGGTCTTCTGTACTGACCCTCCTTTTCTGCCTCCTCAGGTGTTTGTGGAGACACTGGACAAGTGCTTTGAGAATGTCTGCGAGCTGGACCTCATCTTCCACATGGACAAGGTGGGTCAGAGGCTCCGTGTGCTCCTCCAGGAGTCTTGTTAACATTTTACTAGAGGTGCAGGAAAACAAAGGGAAGGAACAATGGGAGTGTTTGGAATACAAAGTGTTTGTTAAACTTTCGTTTGAGCCACAGCCTTTAATGCTTCCTCTTTATCTGGACAGAGTTTCTGGGTGGAAACCTATCCTCTTTGATCCTCTCGTAGATGGGGCTGAAGATAGCCAGGACTGTGCTTAGAGAAAGGAGAGGCTTAGCTGACGTGTGCTGGACTTGTGTTGCTGTTGATAAGGGTTGTCTTGCTTTGTTGAAGACAAAACATGCCAACAAAAAAGAGGAATGGAAAAAAATCAATAAGGCTGTAAAATGCTCCCTTTCTGTTGGTGATTCCAGCTGATGAACTCTGGCAGGGAAGTGGAGTTAGCAAATCTTAGAAGGCAATCTGGATCTGCTGAATGTACTAGTGACTGGTGAAGTAGGAATTTGATTTCATAATTTGCCCTGCTATAAACTTTCAGAAATGTTACAACGTTGATTATCTCGTCAGCAAAAGCGTTCTTATCAAAGCAAGCTGTGGTGGGCTGACCCTGGCTGGAGGTCAGGTGCCCCCCAAAGGCGCTCTGTCACCCCCTCCTCAGCTGGAAGAGAAAATATAATGAAAGGCACGTGGGTTGAGATAAAGATGGGGAGAGATCACCCAGCAATTACTGCCACGGGCAAAACAGACTCAACTTGCGGAAATTAGTTTAATTTATTACCAATCAAATCAGAGTAGGGTAATGAGAAATAAAACCAAATCCAACGTGAGTCCTTCCCACAGGCTGCAGTTCTTCACGAACTGCTCCAGCGTGGGTCCCCCACGGGGTCACAAGTCCTGTCAGCAAACCTGCTCTGGCGTGGGCTCCTCTCTCCACGGATCCACAGGTCCTGCCAGGAGCTTGCTCCAGCGCGGGCTTCCCACGGGGCCACAGCCTCCTTCAGGTGCCTCCACCTGCTCCGGCGTGGGGTCCTCCACGGGCTGCAGGTGGAATCGCTACACCCCCTCATCCTCCCTCCATGGGCTGCAGGGGGACAGCCTGCTTCACCATGGTCTTCACCACGGGCTGCAGGGGAATCTCTGCTCTGGCGCCTGGAGCACCTCCTCCCCCTCCTTCTGCACTGACCTGGGTGTCTGCAGAGTTGTTCCTCTCACATCTTCTCACTCCTCTCCCTGGCTGCAAAATGCTGCTTGTTTTTTTGTTTTTTTGTTTGGGTTTTTTTCCTTCTTAACTCTGTTACCCCAGAGGCACTGCCGCTGTCGCTGATGGGCTCGGCTGGGGGGAAGCTTCTGGCAGGTTCTCGCAGAAGCCCCTCCTGTAGTCCCCCCGCTACCAAAACCTTGCCGCACAAACCCAATACGCAAGCGAAAGGAGAGGAAGGAGGAGTACCTGCGGGAGCAGTGATGGCAGCCACCCAGATCACCTCTGGCCACATCTGAGGGAGGATGCGCTCTCAGTTATTTTGTGGCGTGACCAAGACCCGGCAGCTTTACACTCAGTCCACAGCCCACAGGCAGAAGAGATTACCTTGTTGCTTGTCTGTTTTGCCAGCAGCAGCATGGATTGCCCTTCCTCTGAACTCTCCTGTCAAGCGAAGGGTTCAAAGGAGCCGGGAAGGTTTCTGATAGGGGAGGCCCTGCGCTCGGTCACCCCAAGGCTCTCCCACCAGTCAGGCTTGTGTACTTCCTGCGCTCCTGCTGCTTCCCAGCCTTGACTTCAGTCCTTGGCCGCTATCACTTGGTGCTCTTGTCTCTCTTTCTATATTTGGCACGTATTTATTTCTCAGGCGTGTTCGTGTTGAGTGCCCGTGCTTGGTTGCGGACGGGCGGCGTCAGGGGTGCTGGGAATACGCAGGAGCGTCCTGCTGGCGCCCGGGTCTTGCCCCTTGGATGTCTGCGGCAGGGATGGCGACGCAAGAGCGCCCCGGGGGGCCCGC